AAGTAGGGCCTGGTCTTGGGAGTCAATGAGACTTGATTTTGATCCCAATGATGCTACTTCTCTGCTGCAAGACCCAGGACAAGTTATTAATGTTTAGCTGAACTTGAAGTAGCCCAGCTTAATGGGCATAGTGCAAGCGCAGGCACAGGATAGGTCCTGTGTTGGTTTCCTAGGGCTACCATAGCAAGGGGACTGGCTTCGACAGCAGAAATTTACGATCTCGCACAGTTCTGGAGGCTGGAAGTCCGAGTTCAAAGTGTCACCAGGATTGGCTCCTGCTGAGGGCTGGGGAAGAGAATCCGCTCCACGCCTCTCTCCCAGCTCCCACTGGTTTGCTGGCAATCTTTGGCCTTCCTTGGCGTGTAGATACGACACCCGATTTCCGCTTTCTCCTTCACATGGCGTTCTCCCTGTGTGTCTTCACGACATCTTCCCTCTAGCATGTCTGTCTGTGTCCAGATGGCCTTTTTTTATAAGGACACCATTTATATTGGCGTCCTTATAAAATGACCTCATTTTAACTTGATTACCCTGTAAAAACTCTGTTTTCAAATAAGGTCACATTCTGAGGTACTAGGGGGCTCAGACTCCAACATACCCTTTTTAGGGGGACACAATTTCAACCCACAACAAGTGCTCGGCATCTGTCAGTTTTCCTTCCTGATCAGATAAATTGAATACCCTGCTCAGTACGTGGCACAGAGTAGAACCTCAGTAAATATTTCTTGAATAAATGACTGAACGGATTCTAGATTCCACGGAGTTCTGAATTCTTCGGAGAGTGCTCCCCTAACCACAGAGACACCCCCCTGCCCCTTTCAAAAAGTGATTTCAAGGTAGACAAAAATACAAAGTTCGTAAGAACAGCTCTAGGAAGATTCAAGAGCTTGGACCTGATTTCTCTTTTCAATGTGCTCTAGGCTGTTCCTACAGCTGGAAAAATTGCAGAAAAGTCCCTCATTCCTAGGAATATTCTGCTTTGCCACAGACAAAGGATTAATTGTTTTAGCAAAGGCTGAGAAACTCCCTCTAGTCACTCGAAAAGAGGTTCGAACAATGAACAGGGGGCCCCAGAAATAAATCAGGGCTATAAGGAGAGGTAAGGAAGTGGCTGGGGAGATGGGGACAGGTGTGCTCCCATAACCCTCTGCCCCATGCACCCGCTAAATCAGGAAGCTGTAAGCAAATGAGGCAATGCCAGCTCGTCTTGATTCTTCACCCTTAGGGGCAGGGGCCCACATACCTTGAGCACTTATGATGTGCCTGGAATGTTCCATCTGGTAGAGCGAAGTGACTCAGAGCCCAAACTCTGGAAAGACTCCTACAATCTGCTCTTGGCCCTACCACTGCCTCGCTGTGTGATCTTGGGCAAGTTACTTAACCTCTCTGTGCCTGAGGTGCCTCACTGATAATCTGGGGATAACAACAGTACCTATCTTATAGCATATGTGATAACATATGTAATACACTTTGCCAGTGCACTCAAATAATGTCAGCCATTATTGTCATTATTATGCTGTTGTTAAGAATGCCCCTGAAGCTGAGGCTGGTAAGGGAAGAGGCGAACTCTAGTGCCCAGGTTTGAACAAATGAGTCTGTTCTCGTCATTCCTGTTGGGGCTTTCTAGAACGCAGCCTGTCTTCCCCCTTCTTTACCTCCTTATGATCCTAAGTGCTCAACCATGGATTATTTCGCTAATTCCCCCAGGAACCCTCTGAGATATGTATCGTAACTGTTGTTTCATGTGCAAAGACCTGAGACTCGGAGAGACGAGGTGACTGGGAAGTGGGGAAGCTGGATTCAAGCCAGGTGTGTCTGAGTCCAGGGATGCTGGAGAGGGAGGTGGGTCTGATGAGGATGGGGCTTGGCCTCCCCTGCAATTCCTCTTCGTCCTTAGGACCTCTGCACACACTTCCCTGCTGGATTGGCCTGCCCTGGACAGCGCTCCCCACTCTCCACTGGCTTCTCCACCTGTCATCAAGGCTGGCCCCCTGCTGGCTGTCACCCTGAACAGGCCCCAGGGAACCCATTCACCCAGGGGGTCAGTGATGGATGATGAAAAGAGTCCATTGGTCTGGACACTGGCATCCCGTCCAATGGCACCTTGGGGCCTCATGGAGGCCATGGGAGGGTGCCGCCCTCCCCCACTGCAAATGTGAGCAAACCAAGGCTCAGAGAAGTTCTGCAACTTCCTCCCGTCATGCACCGGGTCAGAGCTTGGCCTCGAGCCCGGAGCTGGCTCTCTGGCTTCTCCCACTCTCATCCTTTGCAGCGCTGCTGTTTCCTCGGCTCCCTTTCAGGGTGGCCTGGGCTGCCACTGGCCTCTGGGCCCTCTGTTCCCACACCACCAGGGGCAAGGAAAGGGTCAGCACCAGCTGGGCTTCAAAGGGGGTGCTAATAGCAGTGTCAGAACACCTTTGCCCAGGGGACAGAGGGCATGTTGGTTGGGGGCCTATTGCATGCCAGGAATGATGACAGGACATCCACTATTACAGGGGCGTTTCTGATTTTCACAACGTGGGGTCCAATGAAGTACAGTGGCCTGCTTAAGGGCAAGGAGGGGGCAGGTGAGGTCTCAGACCTGGGCCTCCAGTGTTCCTGCTGGCCTAGCCCCCTGCAGGGGACGCTGGGGCTGGGTGGTAAAAGTCTACAGGAGAGCCATCCCATTTTATCATTCTCTTTTTTTTTCTTTAGCACAGACAACAGGGTCTGGAATTTTTTGGCCTCTCTGAACCCTTGACCGCTGGAATTCAGAAGTTCCCGAAGTTTCCTGTTCTCCATGGAATTCCTCACAAGCCCACAAGTGGGGACCAGTTTCCTGGTTGTTTTGGAGCTGCATGCAAAAGAGGCAGCGTGATGAGATAGAAAGAGCAGGGGGTTAATTCCTTGGCGGACTAGGTGGGGCTCTGGCAGTGACTGACTGTGCAACCTTAGGTGGGTGAATTCGCCTCTCTGATCCTCAGTTCCTCCTCTGTAAGAGAGGGATAATAATGGCCCCTACTTTATAAGGTCATGAAGATTAACTAGATAATACATGTAAGCAGTTAGTGCAATGCTCTGCACATAGTAGGTACTGGATAAACACTTAGCTACCATTGTTATGGTAGATACGGTGCTGTCATTAGCAACTGAAACCTTGCTAGAGGTTTTGTTCTTGGGGAAGGATTCAAGAACTAGGTAGAATGAGAGTGGAGGAGTGAGTAGGGAGAGAATGTTCCTTCCCTATCCCACTGGCAGCCATCCCAAACTGCACATGCCCAAGGCCAGCTCAGGAAATACCCAGAGATCCTTTTCGTCTACTCATCCTTGGGGGACAGGGTGTTCTTCAGGCCCACTCGGTCTGGCTTAAAAGCACAGGTCTGTGCATCCCCACACACTCACGCACCATGCGTTGAAAAGCCAAGGGCATGGGTGTCGGAGTTGCCCTGGAAGTACCTTATAAGAACAAAAGAAGGCACCCAAATTTTAAAAACTGCTAATTGCATGCACATATTTTGATTTCCCCTTGTTTGAGTCTGCAGCGGATATGACCCATGTCCACTGTTCTGGGGCACAGCAGTGGCCTCAGCTCCCGGGACTTCAGGGTGTTTTAGGACTGATCTGGTCCAACTCACTCACTTTGGGGAAAACGAAGCTGAAAGAAGCAAAAGACCTGGTTCAACAACACACAGCCACTGAGCCAAGGTAAGCCCCATGCTCCAGTGGTAGAGTTCTCTCGTCCCTCCCTGGCAAAGGCACAGTCACCGTGAACAGTGTCCAGCCAGTAACTCTCATCCTGCCGGGAGGAAAAGGTGGGGAGCAGGACGGGACAATGCACTGGGCCTGGCAGCCCCTCTGAGGCTTCAAGTCTGTTTCCCAATTATGAGGCCTTTGGAAGGAAATAACGTGTCACCTCCCACCCTCTGCTCCTCTGCACTCTCATGTAAACCCCCGGCTGGGGCCTGTCCCTGGCAGCCTCGGAAAGTCATTCCCTCCAGCAGATGCCTCCCCTACGTTAAGAAGCAGAAATTGTCAGGAGAAGGCACACAAGGCCTTTCAGATGATTGTGACTCTCAGGGTGAGGTGGGAGCGGTGGGGTTATTGGTGAGGACCGTTGCATTTATGGGGACTCTTATCTTTATGACAGAAGCTCAAATGGGACTAGAGATGCAACAACAAGGAAAGCAACATCCATAAAGATGTGGTTCTATTGCGTGGGACCGTGTAAGAGATGGGCAGCAGGACCTGCTCTATGTGGAGGGCAGTCCTGGTAACCCCAGGATTTTCAGTGGAGTCAAGGCTGCGTGATGGCACGGAGCTGGGACTTCTGGTGGGGTGCTGGGAGCACTTCCCAGGCCCACCCCTCTGTACCTGCCTCCACTTCTGCCAGCTGATGTGGGACTCCCCTGCAGCATCAGAAGTACCATCCCTTCACCCACGTTCTCGCCCTCCAACCCTGGGGGCGACTCAGGGGCAGACCCAAACAGCCAGGACATTTGGCAAGGTTGGGATGGGCAGTGCCGGTGAGAAGCGCAGGAGGATGCTCCGTGGGCTCCAACTTCCCTGGAGGGAAAATGTGAGCCAGAAATGTGAACAGACGACCCCAAACACAAAAAACCAAACCAAACCAAAACAAGAAAATAAAACCAGCAATATAATTGCAAAAAAGGAGTCCCAGTTCTATTTGTTCAGCACCAGGCTCAATACTGCAATACTTTCATCAAGTTATATAAAGAAAAACCAGGAGCATTACAAGAAGAGGAACAGGGGTTCTCCCTCGTGGCGTTCAAGTAGTTTGTGCCTCCTCCCCTACCCCCTTGCAGTTTGGCTGTGCTATCCCTACTCTCCAAACATGGTGCAAACCTACTGTCCAAACATGAGTTCTTGACCCAAGATGACCATCCTGGCTTTAGTTTGCAAGTCCAGCTGGCATGCGATCTCCCGAGGGAGCCAGTCTCAGTTCATGGCCCTGTCTGTGGGGAGGTCAGGGGGCCTAAGAGGCAGAAGGGGCTGCAGGGGCTTCCTGGTCAGAGTGACTCAGGCAATGGAGGAGACCTGGCTGTCTTTCTGCTCTCTGCAGAACGGAGTCCTGGGGAAGAACGAGCAGCTGCCCTGCCTGGGATGATAGCAGAAGAAGGTGGACATCAGCAGGGCCAGGGCGATGATGAAGGCAAGCACCCACCGGATGACGCCTGGGTAGATGAAGGGCAGGATGAGGATGATGAGCAAGATCAGCAGGAGCAGGTGTGCGGCCAGACGCCGGGCCGCCGCGCGGTTGGCACTTACTGTGTCCTGCCCATCTTCTCCTGCCAAGCTGGGGTGCCCCTCTGTTGAGGCAGCAGGATCCGCCAGCCCCTGAGGAGAGAGCCGCACCTCGGGGTATGACCGGGCCAGTCGCCCCATCACTGCCTGCTGGTCACGCAGGCCGCAGATGAGGCCGCCGGGGACAGCGGTGCGCTTGCGGCATAGCGGGCAGGTGATGGACCAGGTGCTGTCCTGAATGCACAGCAGGAGCTTCAGGCAGACGACACAGAAGGCATGCTGGCAGGCCAGCAGCTTGGGCGACCGGGCACAGCTGTAGGGCTCCCGGCACACCAGGCACTCCAGGTCGCACTCCTTGGAGCTACGGTGACCCCCAGTGGGGCCTATGGTGGTGGTGGTAGTGCAGGCCATTCTGGGCACAGGGGCCGGCGGGATGCAGCTGCTCAGTGCCTGGGCCGGTGCCGCCGGGACTTGCATGGAGACTGAATCTCCTTTTCGCCCTCGCCAGGCACCTGCTACGACAGCTGTCTGGCGCTGCTCTCTCCCGGGGCTGCCCAGCTTGTTTCTTGGCGCAGTCGTCCCTTCAGTTGTTATTATTCCTTTCCTCGAAACCTAGGGTTAATCAGTAACTCATGGGGCTGGAGACTTTGAATTGCCTGATAGAAGGGCCACAGGGGGCAGGGCCTGGTGAATCAGGACTTTCCTATTGGGGCCAACTGCCTGGCGAGTGCCCACGGGACCGCGACTCATGGACTTTGGGATGCATCAGGATCCCACTCCACTCAGCCCCTGAACCCTTTAAAAATGCAGATTTCTAGGCCCCAAAACCAGAGGCTGAGCTTCGGCAGGTCTGGATAGGATCTACAAATCTGCGCAGTTAACATACATTCTCAAGATGCCGACGTAGGTGGATTAGGGGACCCTGCTTCAAGAAACGCCGCCACGGACTGGTCTCAGACAAAACCTCTTGGACGTCAAGATGAGCAGGAGTAAGTTTGTCTGTGCTTTGAGCACATTTGCAAGCAGGTGGCCTCGTAAGGAGGAGAGAAGGGATGAGGAAAGTATTCTGAGTGGGAGGAGGAGAAAGCCCAGCCAAACACAGAAAAACAAACATAAAACCAGCCCGCAGGTATTGGCACCTGCTACGAAATTCACTTCCTGACGGTCACAACAGTGGGATCAACAGTTACCGATGCGTGAGCATCCCTTCCCGGCGGTGCCCGCAATGCACTGCGTGTACCTAATAACAGTTATCAGTTGTGCGCGAGGCAGGCCGCGTGCCCAGTCGTGCTAGGAACAGCCGCTGTTTATCTGGGTCTGCTCTGAGCCAAGCCGCGAGCCGGGGGTCCTCAGCCGTGATCTCCCGGAACCCTGGCACAGCCTTGTGCGGAAGGCCTGCGAGAAACGGTAGGGTGTGTCAGGGTAGGCCTGCTGGCCTCCTGCCGAGGGGCCTTCTACAGGGCAGGACCTCGTGGAGACTACCAGCGTCCAAGGTCAGGTTCCTGGTCTTGTGGAATCAATCTCGTCAGTTGGTGTCGACGCAATTGGCAGGTGACTCAGGCCAACAGGACTCATGCAAGCAGCATGGCAATCAAGAAAACGTGACCCCCTTACCTCGTCATGAGCGTGAGTACGGTGGGGTGGCACATCCACTCCCTCAAAAAACATCTCTTTCGGGCCACTCTGAGTCCAGAAGCACATGAGAGGGGTCTTTTGCTGCTCATCCCACCTGTCCAGGGCCCCCGGGGATCCCCTCCTCTGATGTAGCTCTTGCCCTCGCCCCGAGGGGCAGGCACGGCAGCTCGCCCTGTGTCCTGGAGTCACCAGCCCCACAGAGCTTTCTGTGGGATGACCCTTGTTCCGCCCCTCCCCCTGGGCCCCTCTATCTCTGAAATCCAATCCCCCCACCAGTCCCCGCCCCATGCCGCTTCTTCTCCTCAACCTGCAGTTTGACGATCGGTTTTTTCTTTGTCACATTTTCCTCTGGATCAAGCTGATGGTGGCCTCAGATCTAGCACTGGGCATCTGGTTTCTTCCCCATGCCCAGTGTCTGTTTCCTGCTTTTTGGGTAACAGTGGCCCGTTTTCACTTTGAGCAGCCTCGGCTCCCCACTGTCATGCTGCGTGGTTCTGGTGCGGTTGATCTGTCACTCCAGCTCTGTGGGAGGGGGTAGCTGATGGGATCCTCGCGGACCAATCAGCATTCTCCATCCTGCTGGCTGCCACGATGGGTTTGGGCACAGGCGTGTGATCTAAGCCAAGCCACTGAGATTCAATTCTGGGACTTCTGTTGGAACTTGAGGAGAAGATTCTTTTTTCTGCTGGGTTTCTAAGCTAGAGGATGGAACTCTGGGGCTGCCAGGACCACAGTGCACAGAGAACCTGCCCACGAGTAAGGTCAGCACAAAAGATAAGAAAAAAGTCAGACAAAGGTCTGATGACATCATCCGAACACCTGGATCCAGCCATGCCTGATGCTAGAGATCTAGCTTTGGATTTTTCAATTATATTAACCTATGACATCTACCCCAATATTTATTCTTAAGTCAGCTCAAGTTGGATTTCTGTCCCTTGCAAGCAAAAGACTTCTGAGAAGCACAGCAATGGATAAAGAAAAAAGACTCTGCTAGCTCTCTCTGACAAAGATTCAAGCCCTGAGAGACAATCAGACTTTGTACACAGCCGAGAGTGACCTAATGCCTGTGGGTTACTATGCTAAAAGAGACTGTGTTTTCTCTGCTTTTACTTGCATTGCATGATGTTCCTTTCTGTTTGCTAGATCCCAGGAAGGATTGGGGATGGGAAGAGAAGAAAAACTTTGCTGAACCACATACATTTATAATGAGAAATAGAAAATCAGCTGTGATGTTGGTTTGGCCAGCGCCCTTCTCTCTACTGGCCCGCTCAGTGGGAAGGTAAATTACCAGAAGGTGGGGTTGAAATTAGACCAAGGGTAGGCTGGGCACAGTGGCTCACGCCTGTAATCCTAGCACTCTGGGAGGCTGCGGCAGAGGATGGCTTGAGTTCAGGAGTTTAAGACCAGCCTGAGCAAGAGTGACATCTGGTCTCTACTAAACATAGAAAAATTAGCCAGGTGTGGTGACACGTGCCTGTAGTCCCGGCTGCTCACGAGGCTGAGACAGGAGGATTGCTTGAGCCCAGGAGTTGGG